GGCTTTTAAAACTGTTGAAATCTGATCAAGTGCTTGGTGTAAGCCTATTGTTTCCTCTCTAACAACGAAAGTACCAAGTGAAGTCAATGAAAAATTTATTTTACATGCTTGCTATTAAGACTAAAGAGGGCTGGGTGTGGTGGCTCACGCCTGCAATCCCAGCACTTTGGGAGGCCGAGGCGGGTGGATCACGAGGTCAAGAGATCGAGACCATCCTGGTCAACATGGTGAAACCCCGCCTCTACTAAAAATACAAAAAATCAGCTGGGCATGGTGGCGCGTGCCTGTAATCCCAGCTACTCAGGAGGCTGAGGCAGGAGAATTGCCTGAACCCAGGAGGCGGAGGTTGCGGTGAGCTGAGATCGCGCCATTGCACTCCAGCCTGGGTAACAAGAGCGAAACTCCGTCTCAAAAAAAAAAAAAAAAAGACTAAAGAATAGTACTTAGCCTAATTCCTTGAACAATTTGCAAGACTTACCAGATTGAGAAAAAGAAACACATAGGGATCTAAAAGAATTAAAAATTATTATTGTATCACTGGAAGTTAGCATTTTTTTTTCTTCTTCTTAGTACTTAAAAAGTCTCCCTTTGTCCTTTAGAAAGTTTCTGATTGAATAACAAAACAGATGAGCCAATGTAAATCGAAGGCTATTTAAGATAATGATATCCTTTTTTTCTTTAGAGGAATCATCTGAATAGTGTGAAGGAAAAGGGACTTTAAAAAACCGTTTTCCTCATAAAGTACACTAAAATAGACATCAGAATAAAATATGGGCAAGCTTAAGAACTATACTCATCCAAGCACTGGGATCCTGCCAATGATACTGCACAAAATATAAAGAAGATTTAAAAAATTACAACAAGAAGAAAAAACTACTTTGGACATTCTTCAAAGTAAATCACCACCTTAGGCACAATATAGATTTTTACTATTTAAGGCAGAGAACAATAGTTGTTCAACCTGAAGCTGACATTGTATTAAGCAGCAATGAGTAAAAAGTACTATATAGTGTAAAATTAACTACCTGGATTTTCAAGTCTTAGTAAGTGTTCCACTTACACAAATTAAAACTTGTTCACAATAGAAACAAGTCGCACTGTGGTCATACAATCTTTTGAAACGTGGTCATCCACTGTTTAGAGCAGATTCACTCTTTAAACAAGTTTCACAAAAGTAGAGTCATGATAATCCTGCAGTCTACTCAGAACTGGTTACTAATGTATATTTACCAAAAAGCACTTCTAGGTGTTCTACTATTAAAGTAATTTTTAAATACAAATGTAGATGTATTTTTCTAAATTCGTTTTGGAAAACCTTGCGACTAAATCAATTGATTCAATATTTCTAAACGCCATTATGATATTCAGGAAGTTTAAAATAGCAGTTAATCTGTAAATAAGTGATCATTTCATGATTCACACAAATTAGCATTTTTATGTCATTAGGTAGAATTAGACTCTTTATGCCCCAAAATAACATTGGCTCAGCAAACATTTCTTGGACACTTTCTATGTGCCAGTCTCCCCCTGTAATTGAAAAACAGTCTATGATGAGATAGAAACTCTGGATGGAACAGAGATGAATAACTACTGCCTGAATTGCTCAAAGTCACAATGGAAAAATAGTGGACCAGAGGCAGAAAGATGGAAATCTGAAAAGCTGTAAAGGGTATAAAATCAGGGAGCTCAGAAAAGCACGTATTGCCACAACATACCTGAGGATGTTGTGGAGACTTTACTTCTAGTTGGAATGATTCAAGGCACATATCTATTAAGCCACATATAGTTTGAACCTTGATGATCATCCTAACTACCTTCTCTACTTGCCCCATTCAAATTCTAAGCATTAACTGCTCAGTATTACCTAGGATAACCTCCAATAAAATCCTGATAGGTTTCTGTTTTTGGAAAACACGTGTCTTCTTCATCCATTGAAACCTAAGATGTTCCACGAAGATTTTCTGTGACTATAAGTTTTAGCTGAACTTGCTTCATCAGCACCAGGGAATCAACTTGTGTGGATTGAAAAATGTTAATATTAGTTATCATCTATGATACTGTGATATTTCTACTATGTGCCAAGTATGGATCATGTCATTCCCTTTTCATAAAAATCCCTTGATATAGAGACTAATATTACCACTTTGCCAATGAAGAAGACAAGGCTTACAAATTTCAAGTACCATGTCAAGGGCACATGCCTTGTAAGTATCAGAGTACATTGCGTAAACAACTCCAGGGTTTGGACTTGAATTTAAGCTCTTAGCCATTCTTCTATTCAGCCTCTTCACACTCCATGGTACAGCTTGAAAACAGGCATATACAACACAACAAAAGCTTTTACATATCAAGAAAACAATATACAACATTTTTCTGTTCTTTTAGTTGTTCATAAATTGACTTAAATTTACAAGACTTTATTGTATTAAACAAAGGTACCCAGGCTTGTTATAGTAAGAATCCTCAGGCCTTTTAATATGCTAGTGTGCAAAAGAGGACCAGAATGTGAAGTTATTCCCCAAATATTTTGGACTAGATCTCATTCCTACAGAGTCTTTTGATACTAGGTTGAAAGAACGAACACTCCTTTAGATCAAGTTCTTCACAGTATATGAGAACACCTATTAAAATGGTCTAGGGGCTTTTTGTATCTTAACATATTATATTAGTGAGTTTTCAAAGAAATGGCAGTTGATGACTCAGTTGTCTTACTTTCCTTATTTATGATTGAAGAGAGTGGAAGACATGAGCATGAACACATGTGGCCAAATACACTTCTAAATGAATATGTGGATTTGTAAGCTTGCATGGAGATAAAAGATTGAGCAAGCAAAAAATATTCTTATCTAGCATTGTGGTGAAAGGTGGTGAATTTCATGCCAGGATTTGAAAATGAGATGGATCACAAGTCTCAAAATTGGCAAGAAATATATGGCACCAATGATTAGTCAAATGCAACCAAAAAACTGGTCTCTGTGTTTTCTTTTGTATACCTGTTAGAGATTCCTCATTTTCCTATTTGATATAAAGTAGATTCAAATTACTATTGGTAGTTAAAAATTGTAGATTTTCATTGTCCTAATTTGTCTTTTTTTTTTTTTCTTTATTCTTGAGACAGAGTTTCGCTTTTGTTACCCAGGCTGGAGTGCAATGGCGTGATCTCAGCTCACCGTAACCTCCGCCTCCTGGGTTCAGGCAATTCTCCTGCCTCAGCCTCCTGAGTAGCTGGGATTACAGGCACGCGCCACCATGCCCAGCTAATTTTTTGTATCTTTAATAGAGACGGGGTTTCACCATTTTGACCAGGATGGTCTTGATATCTTGACCTCATGATCCACCCGCCTTGGCCTCCCAAAGTGCTGGGATTACAGGCATGAGCCACTGCGCCCGGCCCTAATTTGTCTTTTATTTTGAATTCAAATGATTTTCAACATTCTGAACACAAGACAAACTAAAAATAAATTTTGCTTATTTTCTACATTCCTATACTATATGTACATATCTGTCAGGAGTTCAGCACATAGGAGAAGTATGGAGGAAGGTTGTTTCTCTCTTTCTCTGTCCAGGAAAGGCAAAGTGATTTAGAAATGAATGTCATTTGAGAGCAGTTTTTGAATTTTTGAATTGCTCTCAAAGGACAATTACTATGTTAAAAATATTACATATTAACATTAAAAAGGAGAAAGAAAATACAATTATAAAAAGCATATAAAATTGCATATAAAATATGTAATAGTAAGAGGATATTTGGTGTTGGAGAATAGTTGGGAGTAGTTTTGTCTTTTGCTGTAAGCAAATATAATGGTTGGAATAATAATTCACATGCCATGAAGAAAAACCTAAACTAACTTTCACCTTGTTCAACAAGGAAGTATGATGTGTACTATACTTTTCTTTCATGACAGCTATTAGTATTTTTAAAAACTGGCCTTTAGAGCTGGGCACGGTGGCTCACACTTGTAATCCCAGCACTTTGGAAGGCCGAGGTGCGTGAATCTGAAGGTCTGAAGATTGAAATCATCCTGGCCAACATGATGAAACCTTGTCTCTGCTAAAAATACAAAAAATTAGCTGGGCATGGTGGCACATGTCTGTAGTCCCACATTCTCAGGAGGCCGAGGCAGGAGAATCACTTGAACCCAGGAGGCAGAGGTTGCAGTGAGCTGAAATTGTGCAACTCCACTCTAGCTTGGCGGCAGAGTGAGACTCCATCTCAACAAACAAACAAAAAAACTGACCTTTATAGTCATAAACTTTAGCTATTTGGAAAATTGGTTTATATCATACAGATTATTTTCCAACTCTCCTAGAATAGGAATTACTATAACATTACCATAGGTCTAATAAGATCTTTAAAATGATTTTACAATTTTATTGTTCTTATTTTTTTAATAAAATGGATGAAATTTTATGTAAATTCTAGAATAGGCAATAAAAACAGCCATTGTTTGTTCCGATTGTTTCTTTTGAACTAATATATTAGAATAGAGAAATATGATTGTATTGAATACTCAATTATTTTGAGGATCTTCCTTCTATATGTTTCAGTAATTTCGTTTTGTTGTTGTTGTTTCCTGTTACATAGGCTCCAGAAGTTCAGGAGAACAAATATAGCAGTAATAGAACTTAAAACCTACACCTGTGATTTTGAGATGACAACAGTTATTTGTAGATTTTAGACTATGTTCCATGCTGCTAGACTGAGTAGAACATGTTTGCCCTAAAATCTTTTCCAAGCCTACAATATGGTCTCTAGTTTCAAGTGATGACAAAGACAGACTGGTAATCAAAGAGCAGGAAATTCGTTTTTGAAAAATCCTTAAAGATTCCTTTGGAGTCTGATATAACACCATCTCTTTAAGTAGACTAAGTGCATATCCCTAAAGACTTGTTTTTAGATTACTCTATTTATTCTTTTACTTCTCAAATTTGATTTGAATTGTATTTACACAAACAAATTTTTTTCTATATACATTTAGATATCCAGACCAAAAACTTACTGTGTATATGCTGCTGAGATTTGTATGGAAGTAGTATGGCTCAAGCTATTGCAAAAGACTTCAAATTTTTGAGCGAATCTGCATAGAGACATAAATTATCCAGGATAGTCAAAGCCATAAGTTAGCTGCAGAACATATATAGCTCTCTCGTGGCTCACAGAATCACAACAATTCTCTTTATTTCATATTTGTCTATTATCACGTTTTCTCTAAGAATCTTCATGGGCTTTCCTTCTTTTCCTGCACTGTTTTTATTTCCATATTCAGAATATGCTCTGTGGCAGCAGTTGCATTTACAAAGTTAAAAGTACTGGGCTACCTAATTGAACGTTAAACTTGGTTCTTTCCTCCCTCTCTGCCTACAGCACACACAGAGATTAGTAGACACAAACTATAGGCACTACTAAGTTAAAGGTAAAACTAAATATTTTTAAGAAAAAAATTGTTGGATTAAATATGATTCACCACTAAAAATATTTTCTTTGGCTGCTTGAAATATATATATGTGTGTATGTATGTGCACATAATATATGCAATATATAACATACATGCATTGTTACACATAGATGTGTGTACATGTATACATTTATTGTTTTATACATGTATATAAAAAACAAAAACAATATATATATATGCAAAGCCTATAGATATTGTTTGGACCAGAGGACAGAATATTCTGATCAACATAAAAATAAAACAACTAATTTAAAAGATACCACTGTTACTTAAAGTCATGGTTGAAAGCTTCAAAAGAGAAACAGTTTAGAAGAAAATGTCAGTTTTTGAATTTTTAAAAAGCTCATACAAACCATGAATTCCTTTTCCTAAATTAATCTCAGGATCCTGGATAAATGTCATAATGCCCCCATAGAGTGATAAAGGGTGAAAATCTGGCCGTGAATAACCCCTAAGTGAATTTCATAAATATTTGAAATAACTGTTCTTTACTGTTTTAAATGGCTATCCTCCTGTTTTGGTTCCTCCTCAAGTCCCCCTTTATTTTACAATAAAACATATTGTTGCCAAAATACCTCATCTTAATCATATAATAAAATTAACTCCCTCTTTTCAGTGCAAAGAAAGTAATTAAGTTTAAATATGTACTGGCTCTTTGTATGTAAGCTTCATAGAATTCATTTTTAAATATGTTATGCAAATATCAAAACATAAAGCAGTCATTTCATGGCTAAAAGCTATTTTTGTCTCTTCATCTTTTCCAACATATTTTCATACACATACAACCTGTAATACAGACAGATGCACAGTTGATGCAAATGAAAATAATATTTTTAATCAACATTGCAACTACTGAATTGATAAATGCTTTAATGATAGGAATAAACAGTTTGATTATACTGTTTTAATTAAGTTTGTTTGAAAATATGTTTTAGAAATAAAACCCATGAACAATAAAAGTGAGTACACATTTGTTTGGTGCAGGACAGACTTTCCTATGATGTAATCACACATTTTACAAAAGTGTGATATTTAGTGCATGGAAAGAAGACTTTTGTCCTGCTTGTGACATTTATAAGGTTCACTTTACAATGCAGACTTCTCTGAAAGGAAAAGTCATAGGAAGTTGAACGCATTAAGTTCAAATAGCATTATCCAAAAAGTCCCAAAGAGAATTTATAACAATTAGAGAAATCAAAGAAGGATTTAAAGGATCTAGCCCCAATATAAGAAATTATTGTTCCAAGAAGATGCTTGGCATTAAAATACAAAACCAAAACCCTCTCTTAAAAATGGGATGAAAATATGCTGATTAAAATTGTCTTTATGAGATTGTATGAGATATGAACAAAAGAACTCCATTATTTAATACCAGATACCGCACAAGAATCTTAGGCTAGGAACTCAGATCTTATTTTAAATACATTTCTTAAAAAAAAAATGTGAAAATTTTCTAAAGGTTATAAGCCTCGTTATTTATCTAGATGTTTCAACTCACATATCTCTCTTCAATAAAGAACTCACCCCCGAAATTGAATTATTTAGAAGCCTAAACCCAGTTTTTTCTCACATGAAATTGTTCTGTTGGAACAAAACACCCATGTTTCAAATAGACAAAATACAAAGAAGAAAATTAAAAAATAAAATAGTTAGGGGAATCCTGAAAACCAGGAACACCCTGCCAATTGCCACAATGAATTAAAATAGCCAATGTTCATCAGTGTCTTTAAGAGAAATAAAATCAGGCGCATCATGAAATGTCACCATACCTGCGTGCACTTTAAAGGACTACGGCACACACGATGTAAAAATCTTCACTCTCAGAAATAAAGCATACTTCATTTAACTGCTGCAAAACACTGCTGCAGAGGAGCCCAGCACATTTTTTTCAGGCAACTGATCCAGCTTTCCACCAGCACTGTGACCTTTGAACTCCCTTCTGCCCCCCTCCTCTCGCTTCTGCAGTCAAAGCCTCCGAGCAGGTCTCATTTGCATAAGGCTCAGGCAGTCCTCCAGCAGCTGAAACGGAATGCTGGGTAAGGAATTGTGGAACTGCGGTTCTGCCAAGGTACCTGAATCACGGGAGAGCAGGAATACGCGATGGGGAGTGGGCACGGGTTTTACTGGGCTGTCAGCATCACATTCCCCCGTGTCTATTAATGGATAAACGATTTTAACGCTTTGTTTTAGAGTTCTATTCTCACTGCTTACCCCTTCCCCACCAAAAGAAGCTGTCAGCAGCGACTGTGGTAACCAAGGAAACCCAAATAGTCAAATGCTTCATTTAAATACGTGTGGAAGGCCAATTTTAAATTTTCATTAACTTCCCTTGTTTTTGAAACATAGCTTTTTTTTTTTTTAATTCAAATACATATTGCACGTATAATCAAGCACATGGGGTATTTCTTTTTGTTGCTGTGGTTTGAACAGCATCTTATAGTCATAAATTTATATTAGTCACTACACAAATACATGAGGTCACTATAGTAATTCTGTAAAATGTTAAATGTGCCCAAGTGCCTTAGAGACTGTCATCCTAAGTGGTGTCCAAAAATTAATTGTAAAGAATTTAGGTCCCAGGATGCCTTTAAAACAAAACAGCAGTAAAAATGTAGAGCAAAGTTAAACCATGTATTTAAATCTAAAGATTCATATTGCTGTAATGCTTGTCTGTCTTTGGCAAAGATATTCAGTGTTGTGCTTTTATTTGCTAGTTATTTCTTTGCTTATTTTCCTACACACAACAATCTCTCTATTTGAAACATAAACTTCTCTATTGCTCATAAATGCAAGAAGTGGTTATTTTCTACATAAAGAAGATCATGTGTATACATATTTTATAAATATGCATAAAGATACATACTCTTTCTAAATAGTAAACCAATGAAAATATACATTATCAAATATCTTCCTTTTAAAAATTAAGCTAGTTTGTTTTTCTCCAAATATCAGTGAATAATATTTATAAAAGAAAAGGTTTTGTGCAATAATCTTTTCCATTTGCCAAAAGAAATGTAACATGAAAAAAATAGACATGTATTACTAAAGTATAAAATACATTGTTCTAATAGTGTTAACATTTCAAAATTTCCTTGTTTTTAAATTTTTTAATTCAAATAATTAAATATTCCAAACCTTCCTTTTGCAGTATACTAAAACACATCAACCAATTTTGAAAGATGTATTATCTCATTTATAAGACATGTAAACTATTGCAACACACAGATTGTTTTAATACTGGAAAAATAATTTTGAAGCTTTTTATGTGAACTATTTGTTAGTAGTGTTCTCTTTTATATTATTTCTGCATACATATAAGATTAAAATTTATTAGATGAATTTCTTTCTTTCCTATAAAATTTTAAAATATAATAAATAACTTTTCAGTTTAATATAATGATATCAACATTTCTCTGTCACATCTGACTACATCAACAATTTAATCACACTGGGTCAATTCAAGTGCATCCTTACATACTACAAATATCTTGCAAAGTTTTTGTTTAAGGCAACCAGTCCATTATAATTTAAATCTAGTCAAACACAAGGAAGTATTGGAATAATTTATAAAATCACCGACCTGTTCAAATAGCTGTGGTCTTAGTCCTTGCACTCTTTATTCATTAGGATCCAAAATAAATTATCATTTTATAATATGTGTCAGCATCACCGAAGACACAGTTCTTCCTGGTTCAGAGGAATCTTCTTAAATTTCCCAGCCCTGTGTTTTATTGCTTGTACCATATGCTTTATTGTTCAGCGACAAGAGCTTCACTCTGCACAAAGACTCATTACCTACTGCTTGCTGCACGGCATCAGCCTCACTGAGGCTGGCTATATGTGATCACATGGAGTTTTGTCTGAGAGAGCCAGGCGTGCCACTGACTTCACTGAGTCTATGGATATTTTTATCAGCTGAGGTCTACTAGGAGGAAGGAATAACAGATAAGGAAGCTGCTCTAAGTCATTAATGCAGCACAACTTATGGAAATCCCTTCACAAGATTTTTTTTATTATAAAAAATGTTTGAGCAAGCCTCAAAAGAAGTTAACTAGATTTTATTTTAATAAGAGGCTGAATAATAATTTAAGGAAGGAGAACTTGAAAAAGCCATTTCCTATCTCATACTTTCTGAAAGTACATTTGTACAAATGTTATTAAAGAGGTTTGCGTTGCTGAATGATTTGGCAATATGTTTTAACCTTTAGATTGCTGGCATTTCTTTTTCCTGTTTTTTTTTTCTTTTGTAAAAAGATTATTGCTGTTTCCTTCAAAATATCCTCAAATAAAATCTCAATCACTAAAAGATACTATATAGGAATAAAAATAGATATCCTAATTAATTTTGATAAAATAGATGAGAGGGTGAATCATTTTTATTGATGTATATAGATGAAATAGATGATTAATTTATCTTTTCAAAAAATGACACATTCCTAGAACAGCTGATTTAAAGGAACGATGCAGATTTCAATGTAAGTTCTAAAGGGCATTATGGTTTATATTAATTTTAAAAATTGCAGTAACTTATTTTAGACAGCTTACCTCAATAAAGCATATGATTTATCTTATCTGATTTTAGTGTTAACATGTAGTTTCAGGGAAAACTATTCAACATTCATAGGAATTTTCCACTCCATAAATATTATATTAATATATATATACACATATGTTTGTGTATGTATCTGTGGTCAGATTATCTTTTTAAAAATATTTTTTAAATATATAAAATTATTTCTCAAAAACAAAAAATGGATTGTGGATTTCCAAAGAAAGAACTATTTAGCTATTGAAACTTATTTTTTAAAAAATCAATTTCTTAACTGTTTAATGACTGTCTGAATTAGAATAGTATTTGAAAGCTTGTTGCTTTTAAGTCTCAATGAAAATCTTGTGACAAATGCATGCAAAGTGCAACAAAGCACAGAAGGAAAAGTTAGAAGGACCATAAATGCAGATGAAAAAATAAATTTTCTAAATAGTTAGATATATAGTAATTTAATTGTACTTATAAATAATTCAGTAATTAAAAAGTGAATATACATATAAATGTATATATTTTTGCTTAAGCCTTCTATTAATAAATTCTTTGGGGGAAAAATATTATAACTCAAAATTTTTTGTGCATCAATTGAAGTTTTAAAAAATAATTTAAAACCAGAATAGGCAAGTATGGTTAAGTAGATTAGCTTTTAAATACAATTAGTTAATATCTTTCTTTATAATATTATTTGTAGGGTTAACATTGATCTAGAATGTTTATAATTTAAATAATTATCTTTTCATGGGTTTTTCTTAACATTGAAAGAAATATTCAGATATGTTTTAGATACCATGATCTTAATGCATTTGTCCCAAAATGTTCATGTCATTTTTAGCATAGCATTAGAGCTATGCTAAAGCTGCAAAACATTGGGGCATTAAAAGAAAAAGGAAAATAAAGTGTTTCTGGCATATACTTCTGGGTTCTTAAGATACATACATCCTAGTTAATATATTTGATGATGTCACCCATGCTTATGTACAAGGAAGTAAACAAAAGGCAGCCATTTTTTTTCTTACTGCATCACTTCAAAAAACAGTGAAATAAAATGGTTGCCCAATGGAAGGAAAGAATCAGCAGAAAACTAAGTTACTCGCAAGTTTTTAGGGAGTGGGGGTGGGGGAACAAGGATGGTGAAATTGGAAAAAAATCCACATATATGTGAAATTTGTGTGTAGATATGCAAAGGAATAATTTAACAATATGAAATAACTATAACTAAATACAAGGAATATGAAAATAGCAATTAAAACAAATTGCCAATAAAACAGTGACTCTCCAATGGGAAGTCTATAGTGTACGGTATTAAATATATGAACCTGATAATTAATTCATGTTGAAAAAGGTATTTAAAGATGGACATCAGAACTAGAAAGAGATAGAATGAATCATGGGATGGTAATAATCTCTTCAGGTCTGCTATTGTCATAAATGACCTTGGTGAGTTATTCCAGAATCTTATGCCTTAATTTTCAAGTCTGGAAACCAGGAACAGAAAAGTCTTTGGAAAGTATGTCCTGGAAACCTATAGCAATAATTTGTACTTCAATTCCTTAAATTGGTTTTAACCAAGTATTGTCAATTAGTATTGATAAAATTGAAAGATATGATACAAAATCTAACGATAGCTTAAAGGAATTTTTAAATGGATTATTCTAACAACACAGACAGATAAAATAAGTAGATAGTACTTTTGAATATACGTGGTAATGTTTTTTCCCTAATACATGCAGAAAAACTAGAATTAAATTTGGGAAGTAGTATAATTTGAAATCTCATAAAATTGCCTCAGGATAAAAACGAATTACAAAATATGCCCATCCTTCTAATCAAAACTCTGGAACCAGTGAGATGGCAAGAGGATAGCCACAAGATTCTAAAATTACACAATGAACAACAATGGCTCTGCTTATAAAACAATTTTATGGGCCAAGAGTTTTTTAAAATATGAAATTAACAAAGAAAACACAAGATCATAGCTGTGAGAAGCAAATTCCATCCAAGATGTAAAGGATGTTTTAATTTACTTTGCCATATTAAAAGCTGTGAATTGGGAGGAAAAAAAAGTCAATTCTTTCAATTGACTTTTTATTAGCTTGTTTTTTCCCCAAAGACAAATAGGCCTCATAGAATTATGTACTCCCCTTTCCTACAAAATAATCAGAGCTTATCAGAAGTAATCCACAATATTTGCTATCCAGTTCTTGCAGTAATTTAGACATGAACGTATGCTAACTGGATGATGTTTTGAACATTCTATGCATGAAGAAAGATTTACTAACACCATCACCTGTGTTTCCTGGAACCATATTAACTGGTACATATACAAGTTGCTACTGTTGGAGTCACCCTTGATGAGGCTGGATTTTCTTGCTATATTTTCTTCTCCTTCACAACACATTCAAAGAAGTTAATAAATTGGCTACGTCAACCTCAAAATCCAGAACTAATTCAATTCAATTTAACAAACATTTATTGAGAAGATACCATGTACCAAGTTTTGAGACAGTTGCTAGGGTATAAAAATGAAATATGAAATATACACTATTCTCAAGAAGATTATAGTCTCCTTAGCTTAAAAAAATGTGCTGAGCATGTTATGTGAAAGTGTCAATGGGACTTTTCCAAAAGTTTGAATGTTTTATTATGTGAATATGTATTTTATGCATAATGAATAAATTTCTTTATTTTCAATATATCTGCTAAAATCAGAAAAATCCGTTGTGTAATTAAAAATAATTTATCAAATGTCAAGTTGTAATTTATCCTTTTACTTTTGGATATTATAATCTAGAAGAGAAAAAATTCTCTTTGTAAAAACATATTTTAAATAAAATTTTTAAAAATGGCTACAAATTTTTGCTATTCTTTCCAGCAAGAAGTAGAATCTAATTTCCTCCACCTTTATTTTTAGCTGGTCTGAGTGATTTGCTTAACCAGTAGAGACTACAGAAGTGATGTTCTGGAAAGTCCCAGTCTACGTTCTAGGAAACCCTGTGGCTTCCACTTGAGCCTCCTGAAACACTCTGTCCAAGAACTCTGAGCTTCCGTGTAAGAGGATTCATTATTCTGAGGCTGTCATGCTGGAGAAGCCACATATAGGTGCTCTTGGAGAAAAGGGACTTCCTTGTTGTAAGTGGTCCTTTGGGTAAAGCCCAGAAACAAAGGCAAGAGCTTTACTAACTATAATAAGAGGGAATTTGAGGAGACTTGGGTAACAGGAGATTTAGGTATGTATTGGGACTTTGAAGGATGATGTTAGTGCTCTCTCGGAGCCCTGTGAAGCTGGAGGTGAAAAGATGTTTGCAACATGCAGGACATCGTAAAGTCAACAGGGGATGAGATAAGTGCTATGCGCAAAGTAATGAGTAAAGAAGACAATTTTGACAGTTGAGGAGGAACCTGGAGGAGCACTGGGGCAGCAGCAGGGATCTCATGAAGAATCAGCGAGAAACAATGGGGGCATGAACTAAAGGAGGGACTAAGGAAGGAGAAGAAAAGAAGATATCAGAAAGAATGATGAAATATTTAAAACTGTTTAGATAAACTGGTCTGATCTTATTGGTAGCCTTAAAAGTCAATGGTTCAATGATTCAACGGCCAATTATATCTTGAAGAGCATTAATTAAACTAGTTTTGTTACACAGATTCAGTAATTTCACAGGTATTTTTATTCATATTTGCCTCAGTTGGTTAACTTTCCAGCATTGTGAAAAATTATTTGTATCAAATATTGTTAATATTATGTTTGGAAAACTGAGAGTAACTGTAAAACAACAGGACCACCCTTAAATAAAGTATATAGTGGACAGTGTTAGTATTTTTTCTTTTGTCTGATTTCTAATTTAGGAAAAAAATGTATAGAAAAGACAAATATGTTTTATCTAAGCAAGGATAAGAAACAGGTAACTTTGGATAATGCAGACTAAGACTTAAAACACACACACACACACCACACCACCACCACCATTACCTGTTGAAGTAAACAAGCCTACTGGATTTTTGTCCTTTTGATTTTTCATTCTATTTGGATATTAGACTACCAAAGCAGCAGATGTTAACTTAAGTGGCCAGTGAATGGCCACTCAGAATGTTGCAAGTTAAGTGGTAGGGGTAGCTCTATAATTGCTACTACTGCATCTACAATATGTACATAAATCATTTGAACATGGCTGTAAGAATTCTTTATACAAAGTGACACAGAGAAGAAAGTATCCAGATTTTTCCCCACCCTTAAGTCTCTATCAATGCAAAGGCAGTAGAAAACAGCATTTATTGAGAGAAAAGAATAAATTAAGC